TGGTAGAAGAACTATTTCAATATTAGAAAATATTCGGGGAAGTTAATCCATTCTCAACAATAACAATTCACTGTAAGGAAATTTATCACGGCGAAGAAGCAATTCAAAATAAAAATTGCATCCGCTAAAAACTATTGGCAGTTATAGATTTTTATTATTCCCAGAAAAAAACTAAAAAATGAAATTTATTGTTACCAGTTCTTACTCCGGTGAGCTGCCAAGATGATCTAGCGTGACCCACCGCTGAGTCACCCCGGCTTGAACGTGTTAGATTTAGTGGTCGTAATTTGTACTGAAAAGTACTTTTTCTGGGATCAGAAAAAGTGTTGAAAAGTATTCATTTAAATCTGAAAAGTACTTCTGTTCTCGCGTATCGCTTTTGAACAGGTTTCCCAACAATTAAAAAGTGATTTAATTATATAAACAAAGCTATTTATTATTTGGTCTGTCTGAAAGTTCTGTCCGCGAAGAAACACCAGCCATTTTCAAACATGCAAAAGGAGCCTTTACTCACGCCATAATGAATTACAATTTTTTTTAATATTCAATTGTATTAATTATCTGAACGAAATTTTTGTATATTTTTGCGTTTCTGATTTCAAATCCGCAATTAATATTACTCTGCAAGCTACAGTTTTCATGCAATTTATTAATAAATATCTAACCAGAATTTTTTTAAATTAAACTGAATGTGAAGAAATATTAAAAGTTCCTATCTCTCTTTTACGTAGTGAGTGGTAAGAAAAAAAATTAAATATTCATTTGAGATCATGATGCGAAGTGTTATGATGTCGGTTATGGAAAAATAATCTATAATATTTTTTTCCATTGAGAACAAATATTATTATATAATTCATAGAAACTAATTAACGTAAAGTCGTGTTCCTTACGCGAGATATGCAGGTCACCACAGGCGACTAAAAATGTAAAAAGTGGTAGAATTTTTTTCATTTTTATTTATTTATTACTCTTTAATTGTTCAACACTACTATGACTTATATTTCACGTTGTTCATATTTAAAGGTAAATCATTTGCGGAATTCACTCTCAATAGTAAACCAGAAATGAAAAACTGCTCTGCTTACTGCAAAATTTTAATAAATTGCCAGCAAATTGAAGAGTAAACCTTACATAATTAGGATAATTACGCCCACCCTTTCAAAACGTCACCACGTGATAACAATGCATTTCTTATGATATTTTCAATAAATCTAATTACAAAAAATGAAGAGAAAAAAATGAACTAAATATAACTTTAATTCCGATATTACAAGAAAATATTTTTTGCAAAGCGAAAAAATTTTGCATCTCAGGCAATCTAAATAAAATGTGCCACATGTAATCTATAATCTAAATAAAAATGCACATTTTAATATCTTTTATTAGAATTCAAATTTTTAATCGTCACCACTTTTTGCAATTTTAGTGACTCATGGCAAACCTGGATATGCTTAGCTTTTAAAAAAAAATGGTGCGTGGAGTCCCGCCTTGCGGAAGACGTTAAACTTCGCTACCTGCGACGTTAATTGTAGAAGAATCAGCAGTCGTAGAAGGATCACTAATTCTATTCAACGACTCTTTTTCCTGCTCCGCTCGCTACCATGCTCTGTAATCACGGTAATACTGTGCATTTTTCCCTCGCGGTCCTCTTGAACCAGTGGAAGTGCTTGTGGTTGCCTCGCCCATGAAAATGTATTTGTATTAATAATGTATGTGAATGCGTCATAATGTAATTTCAGAAAAGAAAACCTAACAATTAATTGATATTCGCAAGAGACGTACCTTGACTTAACCTTAAATCCGTCGCATTGTTCGTAGGATTGTTTTCACTCATTTTTTACAATTGTTATCCACTAAATTTGAAAATAAAAAATACTACCCTATTAAATTACACTAGGAGGCTCCGCCCCCTGCTCGCTAACGCTCGCCAACCCCCGAGAATAGCTACGCAATCCTATGCGGTTCACGCCGTGAACCATGGCTCGCTGCGCTAGCTCGCCAATGAACACAATGTTCTAGCACAAAGACATAATATATTATCATCAAAGACATAGTATTTTATCATCAAAGACATAGTATTGTACTTATGTAGATGAATTCTACCAATGCTCTTATTGGCTTTTAAAAAAGTATATTAGCTATTTAGATTGTACATG